ATCTACCTCTGGTCGGGCGGCGAGCTACCCATGCTCGCCGTCCTCATGCCCGTTGTTACGATCCATGTCACGACCTAGTTTTCAATTTAAAATACGTTTAGTACGGTTGACGGTCGTCGAAATAATGCCTTAACCTCTTGTTCATCTGTATACCTATAAGACACAATAGACAACAAATTGTGTCTCGCGCATAAGCCGGTAAACGAGCAGACAAATCACCTGATGGTAACCAATCGGCGTGTCGGTTATGGACACCTGGAACACCAGAGGCGTTCCAAGAGCGTTACCGGCCTTTAGAGGTCTTAGAAGTTTGAGGATTGTTGTGATTCATGGATTGGAGAGATTGGGGAAAGGGGAGGGGGATAATAAGGTGGATGGCTAAGTTTTGTTTTAATGTCCGTCTGGTAGATTATTTTAAAACAATAAACACGTATTTTTTTATTTTCTTACAGAAACGAATACTTTCGACGATATATTGATTTGAAATGTCGCGTGACGTCACTTCTATGTACATTTTATACGTAGAAATTACGTTTTAGCCCCCACTCCTAAACATTGATTAGTTTTATTTAAGTATTGTTTCATTATACAACAAAATAAAAATACGTGTCTAATTTTTTTCATTACCTAACTGACGGACTAATTAGATTTTTAATTTTCATACCCTGTCATCATCCCTATTGGGCCTAAATGAATGTATGGATACAACATGTAACTTAAATAACGCACAACCTGAAAATAGTTTGTTCAGAATCGTTAACTGAATCGATTTATATAATTTTTAGTATAGGTAATTTTTTATCCCAAAAATAATTAAAACTACAGAAATTATTGTCATATTAACCCTGTATTATTAAAACAAATCGAAATGGACCGTAAGTCAAAGCAATAAATAAGACTTTTAAAATCGCAGTTTTATTTGTATTTATACAAATTCTATCATTCAATACAAAATAAAGAAAAATAAACCTCATGACAAGACCAGTAAGGATGCATATACATGTTAAATTAAAAATTTAGTGTATGTATTATGATTATAACATAATATTCTTATTGGGGTGTTTGAGGGTGTGCGTTAATTACGTTACATGTTGTATATAGGTTAACTCGTCGAGTACCGGTTTTATAGACACAATTAAAGAACAATAGGTCGCGGTCACCGGTGACCGCTTGGTGTTTGACAGTTTAAAACGTTTGGAAAACCATTTTTTATGCAGTTTGGCATTTATAGTCATGCAAACTAAACGTGTATACTTTCAGCTCAATAGATTAAAGATATCTGCTTCAATTTGTCATAGTCAGATTCCACTTCACACACACTTACATACATACATTGCACGATCAACAAAAGGTAGTCATCATGGACATAACATAACATAACATCAAGCCTTTTATCCCCGAAGGGGTAGGCTGAGGTGCACATTATGCCACTGTACAATGTAACACCCACTTTTCACTATTTATGTTATGAGTCCCATGTAATAGGAGCTGAGCCTATTGCCATATACCGGGCACAATTCCAGACTCCGTGCTACTACTAAGATTTTTTTCAAAACCCAGTAAGGTAGAAGTACGTATTCCCGTTAGTGTCCCAGTTCCCGTTAACTAGTTAGTTTTTAATTTTTTACGTCTTTCAACCAAAATCAAATTAGAGTTTGTAAATGCCAATTTATTCTTGGTACTATTTTAAACAATTTTAATAGCAACGTTCACCAAAAAGTTTAATGGCGTCAAAACTGTGCAAACTTAAAAATACGTTATAATAAAATTGTCTGTAAGTTCAAAGTTCTGTCAGTGAACTACGAGACCACCCTGTTGCAGAAATCATCTAGCCATACTTCGACGGATAAAATTAAGGTAAGAGTGTTAATGTTTATATAAATGTTTGTATATTATTTAACGATTTAACCTATAAATTAAGGTAAATCTCATTGAAACGTAAAAGTTTTTGCATGTTACATTTATTGGTACTCACAAACCCCTACTTGCCCTAGTGCCCGGTAAATTCGTTTATTTTTTTACCGGTTACTGGTACACTATAAACCCGGTAACATACGTTGCACCGAAACCGGTATTGTATCCTTATTGCTTTGAAATAGGTCTCATATTCCTTTGAAATTTTAGTTTATATTAATATTTTCTGCTGGATACTAGTACATGCATTAACAGTTGCATTTAAATCCGTCATGGTCCTTAATGCCTTAAGATAAGTATTATTTTCCGATAACTCGATAGAATGTAATTAGTAGGCATCTTATTTGTTTTTTTACCACGTGCATTTGGTTGTTTTTTTCTGAATGATTTCCTAATTTTGTATAGTTTGCGTTACAGCTTTGCTGCTCTAAAACCAGTTTTTTTATTTATGGGGCGCAATTTCAGTATATTAATAGGAATATTGACAACTGGGCAACATTAAAAAAATTGTTTCGGAAGACAATGGCAATGGTAATTCAATTATTTAAACATGGTTTTAGAGTTCAACAGAACAGTGGCCCTGTATTTTGTCATGCAAAGTTCACCGTTTTATGTACTCCTTGACAGTAGTTGAAATTGTAGCAAGGGCGAAAAAGCTCTAGTTATTTCATTTACTTGAATATTGTAATAAATTAATTATGCTTTGCAGTTCGAGTCTTGACAAATGGTAACTTGTGTGTAATTTTCAGTACCTACACGTTTTGTCATCGTTGATAAAATTTGTTAGATAAATATGTCTCATTATTTGGAACTCCACCTGTCGACATTTTCATACGCCACTACTTTTCCATATTTCTTGTATGACTTTCACTTTCATTCATAAGTCACTAAACTCCGTGTCTTCAGATTTGGGTGCCAGATGTCAGTCAGACCTGTGAAGTTATCCAGGTGACAAAAATCATTGATAGGAACTAAAAATTGTCTCAAAGTCGTTGAGCCATAATTGAAACTGACTAAAGGTAAATTAATTTGCGTATTTATCTGGGATCTATACCTTTCCAAGTTGGACTTCTGGTGTCCGTAAAAAGCTTCGAGCTGCTTGCTTGCCTGAGTTGTCTTATAATAAAGTACTCCGGATTTCTTGAACTAACGCATGGGTTTGTGTTTAATTTTGGCCAATTGTCGGCTTGCTTCTGTGTGCTGCTGTATGATTACTTCAAACCAGTGACAACCTGGTCTGTCAGGGTTTTATTGCTTTATTTTTAACACCATGCAACATCTGCGATTTAGTTACAGGAAATGGCTACTGCTTGGCATCAGCTAAAATTGAGGAAAGCGAGAAAAAGCTCGGTGCTCCTGATTTTACAATAATTGAATTACCACACATTTTTTAATAAATATGTATGAAAGTTCGTATTTTTACTATTTGCTAATTTCTGCAAAAAAACGTGTTAATTTTCTTTCAGGTAGCCATGACTAAGAAACAAAAGGCCATATTAAAGGCCATGGACGCAGTTAGAAAAGGAGCCTCAATTTCAGCTTCCACGGTCATCGTTGGACGACAAAATACGCAGCCGCTATTCTATTGAATATTCCAAACTCATATCATAATGATATAACTTAATGTCCAAAAAATTGTGAATTAGGTACCTGTTAAGGTTTTAATCAATAATTTTGTATGGAACTTATGGCACCGACTTCTTACCTATCAGTGGGTGGGTAACCTATCAATACTAATAATCGTTATTTTTTGCTTTTTAGTTTTGACTTTTTGTTTGTTATTAGTTTTTGGTTTTTTGAAGTCGGTTTTTTAAACGCAATTTTTATATCAAAAGAAGAAGAAGATCATTTGAGTAGATGGATAATTCTTATGGCAGATAGTGGATTTCCTGTTACTAAGGCGCAGTTGTTAGATAGCGTATTTTATAAAAAATTGAAGCGAAAAAACCCTTTTAAAAATGGCAGACCAGGTCGTCACTGGTTTTTTTGCCACAACTCATGCCTTTTTTGTTAAATACAGACCCTGATTGTTTTCACTACTATTTTTATTTAAAAATATTTTATTTCTGTGAACTTTAACGTAAAGCAATAGAGTTCAAATTTGCACTTAAAATTGCCGGATTTCGGGACAATGAAACGTTAACTAGTACAATTCTACCGGATACTGGTACAGTTGGCCCTTTTTGTATTTTTTTTGTTTTATTGTTAATTAACATTTCCATAAGTTTAATAGAATTATAATATACTAAAAGTATACTAAATTATCTAACTAGTCATATAAAATTTATTTTCATAAGTCTACTTGTTTCAGCCTAGCGCGCATGCAAAGTCAGGGAAGTTCAAAACTTCACGGTTACTGGGCCGTTTACCTTAATACTTAGCCCGACACGGGGATCGAACCCTAGACCCCTTGCACGGCAGTCGCATTTGCGATCACTCGGCCAACGAGGCAGTCATCATAGATTTTTTAATATTTCTGTGTTTGTCATAGATTTAGTTTGTCTCAATATAAACCTGTATGCATATCTATATATATATATATATATAAAAATGAAACCCGTTTCCCGTTGTCACGCCGTAACTTGAGAACGGCTAGACCGATTTGGCTGATTTTTTTTTTGTTGTGTTTGTTATCGTCAGGAGAAGGTTCTTATGACAGAAAAAAAACTGAAAATCTTATGGGAACGGGAGAAAACGAGATTGCGCATACGAAGTCGCGGGCAGAAGCTAGTTATAATTAAATATTTCAAAGCAAGTAATAATAAAGATGACTGACTCTTTTGCCGAGTGGTCGCACGTCCGACTGCAAGAGGTCGTTGGATTCCCGGGTCGGGCAAAGTATTACTGAGTTTTTTTTTAAATCTCAGTAGTAGCACGGAGGCTAGAATTGTGCTAGATGGCAATAGGCTCACCCACTATTACATGGGACTCATAATATAAATAGTGAAAAGTGGGTGTTACATTGTACAGTGGCATTAAGTGCTGCAATGTGCACCTCTGCCTACCCCTTCGGAGAAAAGGCGTGATGTTGTGTGTGTTGTTGTTGTTTTGTTAATAATAAAGATGTTTTAAATGTCAAAACTCACCCAAAAAAATGACAAAAGTTTGTAAGAAACACATTGTTGACATATTTGCCACAAAACACAGAATATTTATTTAAACACAACAAATTTGCCACAAAACACAGAATTTTATTCTCAAACACAACAACTTTTATTAAAGATCAATATATATTTTTAATTAAAACACCATTTTAATACAAAATTAACATTTAATTTTACGTAAAAATAACAGTTTGCTCCGGCTTCTACAAAACTGTCATGGTCGACTTGCGAAGCGGACTGAAGCTGACTAAATCAACGTCTCAAAACAAGTTATATTTATTTTTATTACCTTTAACGACCATTCGATGTAAATTACACCGTAACACACATGTCTAAAGCACATTTTTAATTAACAATGGTTGTGCTTGAACAATTTTGTTGACAAACTTGTCTGAATGGCAAACAAACGAAATTCTGTTATTACTGGCTACTACTGCGCAATTTAACTCACTCTGCTCGGCTCCTTTTGATCGTAGCGTTATGTTTTATAGACTATAGCGTTCCTTGATAAATGAGCTATCCAACACAAAAATAATTATTCAAATCGGACCAGTAATTCCAGAGATTAGCGCGTTCAAACAAACAAACAAACAAACAAGCAAGCAAACCACAGCGTTATATATTAAATGAAGTATAGACTGGAATGATATAAGTTTGTAGTTGTTCTAAAAAGGGATAGATAGAGGTCATGATCATATTAAACCAGTATACCTACTTACGTAATAATTTATTATTTATTTACCAATTTTTTTATAAAATCGGCTAACGAGCAGATGGACCACTAGAGGGGAGCATGTTGCCGGCTTTTTAAGAATCCTTACTAATATTATAAATCGGAAAGTGAGTTTGTTTGTTTGTTCCACTTTCACGCCGTAACTACTAAACCGATTGCTTTGATTTTTTGCAGACGTAAAGTTAAAAGTCCGGATTAAATAATAGGGTACTTTTTATCCCGGAAAAATTGATATTCCCGAGGGAAAACAAAAGTATTGGTATAGTTGGCGCTGTGTGTATTGGTATATATCACATAGGCTACTTTTTATCCTTTTGTGACGCGAGCGAAGCCGCGGGTAAAAGCTAGTTTATAATAACTAAGATTATTCAGACACCAGTGATATACGGTATTGCCTTCTTCTTCATAAAATAAGGAAGGAAAACATCGAGAGGAAACCTGGGCTTATAATGTTTAATTATAAGTTTGAAATCGACCGACCGCGTTTAGTAAGCGTGTTGATTAATGCTCAAACCTTCTCTGTATTTTTATTTAAGTCATCGAATGACTGCTCCCGCCTGGGTGAGGCGGGAGGGAGTGTCAGACTCTTACTGACTAAAAACCACCCCGTTCCTACTTCTGCCCTTCGAGCTGGAGCCCCGGCAACCCGTTAAGTCCTCCGCGGCTCCGTTTCTGCATCAGCCCTAATAGGCCCCATCCGTGGTGGTCCGATGGCTCTTTCAAAAAAATGTCGACAAAAAATTGCTATGCTGATAGCATATAATATTAACACTGTTATACCTTGTATAACAGAAAATAGTTTTAAGGACGAATCTGTGTTGTCTAGAGTGTCTAACAGCACAGAGGCACATTTTAATTTAAGTTTAAACTAGATTTTAAGACAACAGAACATACCTTCATAAATCGTATAAATAATAAGGTATATTCTGGCAAGGAAAAAGCACAGAACAATTATACACAGGGGCAGCACAATCTACAATTATTTTATATTAACATTCAGGGCTGCTCCTCAAAAGTCTTTGAATTAGAGATGTTTCTGGAAAAGACTAAATTTGATGTAATTTGTCTATCAGAACATTGGTTTAAGGAGGACCAACTAATATCTTTAAATTTAGATAATTACAATGTAGTTAGTAATTTCAGTAGAAAGCTTATGTTACATGGTGGGTCCTTAATATTAGTAAAAAATAGTATTAAATCAAAAGGAAGGAAAGATATTGTAGCACTGTCAGTTGAACACACCATTGAGTTGTCATGTGTTGAGCTAGATAGACATGTTATTGTCTGTGTGTATAGGCCACCTAACTATCAGAATCTTACAGTATTTGATTCTGTCATGGAGGATGTTTTAAGGAAGGTTTGTTCTAGTCACAAATCAGTAATTACATGTGGCGATTTTAATATTAATTTATTAGAAAATAGTACTAGTAGTATGGAATTGTTAAATTTATTTGGATCATTTAATTTGAAAAATGTTTTTTTAGAACCAACAAGGATAACATCTTCTACCGCCACCTGTATTGATAATATTTTCTGTAATTGTGACTACAAAGAAAAACATATTATAAATAGCTTGCCATCCGACCACTGTGGACTAATGGTTGCGTATAGCTCTTATTTACCTATCTTAAAAATTCAAATAAGATTTAGACAAATCACGTTCAAAAATCTGGAGAAATTGAGCAATTCTTTAGCTACTAAATTATGTATGAAAGTATTTGATACTAGTAATCCGAATAATTTCTACAACGATTTCTTTGAGATGTTAAACAAGGAATTTAACAATATTTTGCCAATAAAAAATAAAGATATTCATACCAAATTCGTATTTAGCGATTGGGCAACTGTAGGTATTCGTAAGAGTAGGGACAGACTTTTTGAACTTTATGGAATGAAACCGTACAAAAACGACCCCCAATTTCACCAGTATGTAACATCTTATTCAAAAACCTTTAGAATAGTATGCAGAGTCGCGAAACGTCTTTATATTAGTAATAAAATAAAATCGTCTGATGATAAGATAAAAACTACTTGGAAAGTTATACACAACGAGACTGGTAGGAAAAGATTAAGAAACTCAGAATTTAATTTAAATACCGAAAGGGGACAGATTTCATCAAACGTAGATGTAGCCCAGGAGTTTGAACATTTTTTTACTAACATTCCTATTAAAACAACTGAACATTTAAAGTCATCAGCAAACCTATCTGTAACTTTGCTTAAGAACAACATAGAATCATGTCAATACGACTTTAGTTTTCGATATACGAATCCTCTAGAAATTATAAAAGTTTTTAAAGAAATCAAGACCAAATCTACGGAGGATCTTTGGGGCTTATCGGTAATAGTTTGCAAGTCACTTATCCAAACTGTAGCGCCATATCTGGCTGTGATTTTCAATAAATGTATAGATGACGGTGTTTTCCCTGACCTAATGAAATATAGTAAGGTTATCCCACTATTTAAAAGTGGTGACACTAAAGAACCTAACAACTATAGGCCAGTGTCTGTTTTGCCGGTTCTCAGCAAAGTCTTTGAAAAGTTGATGCTGTCTCGGATGCTTCATCATTTTAATAAACATTCCATCTTTCACCAACAACAATACGGTTTCACTAAAGGTCGTTGTACAACTGACGCCGGTGTCACTTTGATTAAGGAAATATTTGGTGCTTGGGAGGAAGCACAGGATGCTATTGGTGTCTTTTGTGACCTCTCAAAAGCATTTGATTGCGTTGACCACGAGACACTTTTGCTGAAATTAGATCACTACGGGATAAGAAACTCTGCGCTCCGTCTTATGAGATCTTATTTAGAAGAGAGACAGTTAAAGGTTCATGTTAACGGTATTAACTCGCAGGGCTCTGGGATGAATATGGGCGTTCCTCAAGGTTCAATATTGGGTCCCTTTCTCTTTTTAGTCTATATAAATGATTTGCCATTTATATTTAAAAATGAACCACGAATGGTGCTTTTTGCAGATGATACATCATTAATTTTTAAAATAGATCGACGTACAAATAATCTTGACGACGTAAACAGCTCCATTCTTCAAGTGCATAATTGGTTCACCATTAATAATCTAGAAAAAAAAAAAAAAAAAACAAAATGTATTAAATTCAGTTTACCAAACGTGCGTAGTAACGATAGTGATATTGTTTTGAACGGTCAAAAGTTAGAATTTGTCGACGAGACAGTATTTTTAGGCATTACGTTAGACAATAGGCTACAATGGGGTCCGCATATAAAGGCGCTTTCGGGGAGAATGAGCTCAGCTGCTTTTGCAGTTAGACAGATTAGACAGCACACGGACGTAGATACAGCTAGGCTTGTCTATTTTAGTTATTTCCATAGCATTATGTCGTACGGCATTTTGTTGTGGGGTCGAGCTGCAGAAATAGAATCAATATTTATTCTACAAAAGCGGGCTATCCGAGCAATATATAACTTACGCCGTTGCGAATCGCTGAGAGAATTGTTTAAAACGATAAATATTTTAACGGTGCCCTGTCAATATATATTATATGAAAATATAATGTATGTAAGGAAAAATAGGCAATTGTTTGAAAAAAGAAGCGATAGACACAATTTTAATACTAGAGGCAAAAATAAGTTAGCTATACCGCAATTCAGACTGTCCAAAGTACAGAAATCCTTTATGGGGTTAGGTATTAAATGCTATAATAAAATACCAAATAGCATACTAGATCTCAATGAAAGTAAATTTAAAACATATATTAAGCGCGAATTATGTAATCAAGCCTACTACACACTGACAGATTATCTTGAAGATAAGAATGCTTGGCAGCATGTTGGTACGGCTCCACTGGACAATACTCAAATGTAGTCAGTAGCTAAATTCCAATAGTAGGTATTTTAATACATAATTTAACACTTTAATTCAAACTCAAACTCAAACTCAAACTCAAACTCTTTATTTGCATGTTAAGGTAATACATACAGGTCTTATGAAATAACAGGCACAGCTTAACGGCCTTTTTCAGGCGTTGCAAATTTTAGGGGTGTCACCAGCTTATTATAAATTACATTTTGGTTAACATTTTTTTACATATTTATTTGTTCGGAATATAGGTAAGTACTTAAGGTATATAATATATTAGTGGGTAAGTGCAAAATGTAAGTGGGTATTCTTAAAATGTATAGTATATTGTATATACATAGAATATTTATATTTAAAATGTATAGTATGTTGGTGTGTGCTTGTGGGTGTATGTATGGGGTAGGTTTAACATTTAATTTTGGTGTTATATTTTTCTTCGAAGAATTCTTTTGTCGAGTAAAAGCATTTTTGTATTAGGAACTTTTTTAGTTTTCTTTCAAATATAATTTCTTTAGTTTCGTTTTGTAGGTCTTTAGGTAATCTATTGAATATTTTGACAGCCATGTAGTAAGGACTTTGGTTAAGCATTTTAATTCTAGATGGTGGTAGGTACAGTCGTTTTTATGTCGGGTATTTACATTATGGGTGTCTTTTACTTTCGTGAAATTATCTCTATTTTTGAATACAAACTTGCATATGTCATAGATATATATGGATGGTAGTGTTAAAAGATTGTATTCAATAAAATATAGGCCTGCACTGTCTTGGTTATCTATTTGGGCTATGATTCGTATGCATTTTTTTGTAATATGAATAGGTCATGAATATTTACACTATCTCCCATAGCATAATGCCGTATCTCAACCAGGAGTACGCATATGCGAAGTAAGCTGATAGTGCCGTCTCGATATTGGTACTGCATTTAATTTGGAAAAGATGTAAATTTGATTTGATGTGTTCTATGTGAGCTTTCCAGTTATATGGGTGTCTATGTTTATGCCGAGTAGGTTAAATGTGTCTACAGTTTTTGTAAAGTTGTGTTTCTAAGGAAGTGTCTATTGTTAGGGGGGAGTTTTTAGATCTGAATTGTACTGTTTTAGTTTTAGTGTAGTTTATCTCTAAGTTGTGATCGTCAAGCCATCGTGTTACTGATTCTAAGGTGTCTTGTAAAATAGGTGTAGGGAATTCTGATTTGTCATATTTTATCAGAATGGATATATCATCTGCAAATAATACTGGTAGGGTTAGGTCTTTGTTTAGAATTTTTGGTAGATCATTGATGTACAGTAAAAATAATACACATCCAAGGACACTACCTTGTGGTATTGAACATGTTATTTTTATTTCTTGTGATCGAGTTGTTTTGATTTCATTTGTGTGTGACACACAAAAGTGTCGTAGTTCTCTATTTGGACAATTTGGGATCTATTTTGTAGGTAAGATCTAAACCAAGAGTGAGCTGGACCACGAATGCCTGAGCCGTGTAGTTTGTCAAGAAGTATGTTATACAGTACTTTGTCATAGGCCTTCGTCATGTCAAGTAAGACGCCAATTACATACTTCTTGTCATTAATATGCTGAAGAGCGGTTTGTACATATTTATAAACAGCTAGTGTGGTGGATCTTGAACGTCTAAATCCGTTTTGGGAATCATCTAGGATTTTGAATTTTTCTAAAAAGTTCGAAACACAAGTATTTTATTTATTACATATACACACCAGACACAATATCTGATCAAGTTTTTGTTAATAAGCAAACATTCCTCTTCATTCAACATAATTTTTTTGTAGTATATTAATGGGATGTTACTGCCATCTAGTATTGAATAGATGAATTAATTGTTTGCGGGCAGTGCCATCTATTAACCAAATTAATTACTATTGTACGGTAGATAGCAATGCTGCAAGATTCTTTTAGAATCATCTATTTAATACTAGATGGCAGTGTTACTTTATAGATTTTACTAAGTTATAAGTTACGCCTTTTGTCAAAAACGACAGTTTTCTATGAATTTTGTACGAGATTGTGTTTTGTGACGTCACGTTCTGTTAGCGTCGAACAATATATTTATTAAAAATTTGCAGGAAAAATAGGTAGTAAAATTAATTGGTCAAAAAATCAATTTATGAAAGTGATTATTTTGTAATATTTTATTGCATTGAACAGTCGAAATAATTTATTTTTGATTAAGGAAAGTACCCAACTTACTAATGTGCAATCTCACATTCACATCTCACTCATGGGCTGCACGGTTGGCGCGGTGGCTAGCAGGTTTGATTCCCGCACGGACCAACTGTTTATGACCCACAAATTGTTGTTCTGGGTCTGGGTGCCATGTGTATGTGAACTTGTATATTTGTAAACGCACCCACGACACATCCTAGTGGGGCAACTTTAAAAAAATGGGTTTAAATTAATCAGACACATTAAAATAAAACCAAAAACCAGAAATACACTTAAAAATATAAAATTTATTCTTAAAATATCCTAACAATAAACAAATAACCTTAGAAAGCTAGTTTCTTCATTAACAAGTACATGTGTTGGTCCACTTCAAATCCGTGCAAGTTGTTCGCATCACCTTGCAGTCGCATTAATAGGCCTCCGAAGGACACGTATGCTGCTAACCGGGACGCTGGCTCCATTGCTGCTTCATCTCCTTCTATCCTGTTGGCAATAGAAACATAATTACCTCGTTGAGTACCGTCATTATAGACACAATTAAAGAACAATACGTTGCGGTCACCGGTGACCGCTTGGTGTTTGCCAGTTTAATACATTTATACCCAACATTTTTTATACGAAATTTGTCTCTAAACATGAGAAATAGGGTCTATATGTAGTTAGTGGAGAGCGGTCACCACTGAGGATTATGAGGATATGCCTACTGAGGATTGGACAGTTATGCTTGGTTTGTCGGAGCGAGGGGGGCTGGGGAAAGACAGGGGAATGCCGTCTCCTCCTTTTGCGAAGCAGTCATGCTAGCGAAGCGCTGCCTCCTCACGACCCGGCCGTCGCGAAGGACACTCCGGGCGTCGGGGATCGCGGGACGATCTCTGTGGACGACGAGCATGGGTGGCTCGCCGCCCGACCAGAACCAGACCTGAGCGTACGGCGCGTCGCGTTTTGAGCGCGCCTCAAAGAGCCATCGACCACACGGATGGGACCCAATAGGGCTGCTGGCCAATACGGAGCCGCGGAGAACTTGACAGGTAACCGGGGTTCCGGCTCGAAGTGCAGGAGAAGGAACGGGGTGGTTTTTAGTCCGTAAGAGTCTGATACTCCCTCCCGCCTCATCCGGGCAGGAAAAGTCAGTCGATGATTTTCCTCCGGTAACCTCACTCACATGACGAAACACAACGCAAGTGTTGCTTCACATCGGTTTTCTGTGTTGCCTACTACCTATCTAGAATATCTGAACATTAACTGAATAAGACAACTAACCAATGACTGATTTCTTACGTACATTATTATAATAACAACATAACATAAGATCACGCCTATTATCCCTAAAGGGTTAGACAGAGGCGCACATTACGGCACTAAATGCCACTGTACAATGTAACACCCACTTTTGACTATTTATGTTATGAGTCCCATGTATTAGGGGGTGAGCCTACGGCCATATACTGGGCACAATACCAGACTCCATGCTGTACCATACATACATACATATATAACTTCACGCCAATCTCCCATGGGGGTAGGTAGGGACTATGGAACGCCAATTACTACGATTCCTATATACATTCATGCTATACCACTTGAGATTTTTTTTAAACAGTAATACTTTGCTCTGCCCAGGAATAGAATCCGAGACCCCATTGCGGCACATTATAATTATAATAAAAAATATAATAAATCTTATAATTATTATTGAGAATGTTCAATAATAGTAATATTTAAAAGTTTATATAAATCATTTAATACTCTCAAAAAGTGACAGATAAAATTATTTTAAACTGTGTTTTGACAATGGTTACTTTTAACCAGATAATTCATGGTCCAAATTTTAAGGACCCTATGTAAGGGTTTAAAACCTAATTTTACAAATTAAATGACTATGACAATCATTGAGAACTCTTTGTAGGATCATACTACTGGTCCGCGGAGTTATTACCAGAGAAAGACAAGTTAAGACAGGTTAAGTCTAAAATTCTAGATTACAAACAATGTAGAAATAATACCATGTTACTCATTTACAATCCAATTGATATTTCTGATGTGAGTATTATTTTTTATATCTCATACACGACTGATTTGTTCATGTATTCCTAGTAAAAAGGTTTTAATGTTTGATTTGTTGGTAAAACTAACCTGTACACCTTTCCCGACATCACATACTCGAAGCTGTCGGCGCGATTTCCTTCCGTTTCTAAAGGGTTCCATTCGCCTCCATCAGGATAACCGTTCTCTCTAAGAGTCGTAGCAAGCACTAATCTGAACTTATCACCCAATTCCATTGGATATATCCACGAATTTATATCCAAAATTAAGTCCATTTTAAAAGATTCTGATTCACAATGCAACCGGCTACAACGATCAAATTTCTTGCCTTCCGGATCAATATCTTTCACATTAAATATATCTTCGAATAATACACCGGCCATTTTCAATGTTTTAATGTATTAACTATGAAAAATTTGTATTTTCACAATAATAACACGATCTAGCACGCTTTTACTCAAACTCAAACAAACTAATATGCCACAATGACGCTTTGACATTAGTTTGCTAAAGAATGGTAGACATAGACGTTAGCGTTCGGATACACAAAATGTTTACATTTAGACACAAAAATTTACTTATTCTTGAAATACAACTTAGAGATTTTTAAAATGCTTACTCTTTAATATGTTCTAAAACATATTAAATTGTGCTGGTTTCTAGTGATATTATCAGTAAAATTCTTGCATCTTATTATTGAGGTGTTATTAAAAGCAGATGCACACCCTTCTTATATAAGTGTAATGTAATTTATGCAATGTAAAATATTCATTATTTATTTCTTCTAACATAAATAAAACAAAAATATTAAATAAAAAAATATATCGCTTTAAAATTAAAACTTGCAATAGATGTATCCGAAAATGTATTTGTTTATCAGTTGGTAACACCATGTGGTCTTATGCGACATCTGGCGAAACCACGTCCAAAATAAACGGAGACCTCGTTCGCGACGACCGCCGAGCCTGCTTGTCTGGAACTAACCTATAATATAGTATTGCACGTGTCGGCTCATTGTTTGTGCGTTTTGAAATAAAATTTACAAACAATAGTTACATTCGGCGCGCCGCGTTAACCCAAATACTGGGTTAAACAAGCACAGTGAGTAATCAATCAAGAAATACCTAAAAATCGCAAAATGACGGAGGTTTTACAACCCGGCGCAGAAGTGTTTTCGGAGAAGAAAAAGAAGAAAGCCAAAGAAGGGGTATCTTTGGGTACGTTTCAAAAGCTCGGAGATTTTAAAATCGAGCCCACAGAGAGTGTAACTAAGTTAGATACAGCATATTGGCCATTGTTATTGAAGAACTTCGATCGTCTCAATGTGCGCACTAACCATTACACGCCGCTGCCATTCGGCCACTCGCCGCTGAAACGTCCGATTGGTGAATATGTGAAGGCTGGCTTTATTAACGTGGACAAACCAAGCAACCCAAGTTCCCACGAAGTCGTCTCATGGATTAAACGCATTTTAAAGGTGGAAAAGACGGGTCATTCCGGCACGCTAGATCCCAAAGTGACAGGTTGTTTGATCGTGTGCATTGACCGCGCGACGAGGCTTGTGAAGTCACAACAGAACGCCGGCAAGGAGTACGTGGCTGTGTTCAGTTTGCATTCAGCTGTGGAGAATGTGCAAAAAGTCACACAAGGTTTGGAGAAGCTGCGGGGTGCTCTGTTCCAGCGGCCGCCTCTTATCTCGGCGGTCAAGCGTCAGCTGCGTGTGCGATCAGTATATGACAGTAAACTACTCGACTTCGACACGGAGCGCAACATTGGTGTGTTCTGGGTGAGCTGCGAGGCTGGCTCCTACATCCGTACCATGTGTGTACACTTAGGACTCATGCTTGGTGTAGGTGGACAGATGATTGAGCTCCGAAGAGTCCGTTCTGGCATCCAAGGAGAACAGGAAGGCATGGTGACTATGCATGACATCTTAGACGCTCAATGGGCATATGAAAACCACAAAGACGAGACATACCTGCGTAGAGTCATCAAACCGTTGGAAGGCTTACTAGTAGCACATAAGAAATTCATTAAGGACAGTGCGGTCAATGCAGTCTGTTATGGAGCTAAAGTACTACTTCCTGGTATTTTAAGGTACGAAGATGGTATCGAAATTGACCAAGAAATAGTTATTGTAACTACTAAAGGTGAAGCGGTCGCGTTAGCTATTGCTATGATGACCACTTCAACAATGGCATCCTGTGACCATGGTGTAGCAGCTAAGCTGAAGAGAGTAATCATGGAAAGAGATACATATCCTAGGAAATGGGGCTTAGGACCGAAGGCATCCCACAAAAAGCAGCTTATATCGCAAGGGAAATTAGACAAATTTGGCAAGCCCAATGAGAATACGCCAGCTGAGTGGTTAAATAGTTACGTAGATTATAAGGTGAAGAATGAGAATGGTACCGTTGAGGCTGAGGCTGAGGTTGGTAGGAAGAGGACTGCTAGCACTGCGAATGCTGATGATCCGAACAACTCAATAGAAGTTAAGTCAGAGAAGAAAAAGAAGAAGAAGAAGAGGGACAGCGAGGCTGCTGATGTTACGTAAGTACATTTTTTTAAATTTCATTATCAAGAATGTAAAAATTTGGCCATCTTTGTTAACTGCCTTAAAAGTGACATCACAATTCATTGTAAATAATCTAGTATTGTATGCAACATTTCACAATAGACAGCCTTCATTGATATGGGTCTAAAAATATGAAAATTAGGTGCAGTATTGGTGCATTGCTGCCTTTCCGTTATGGGCATTGTTTAATAAATTTAATGCCATTTGTATATGAACTTTTAAATTAAAGACATCATTAGTTTTACACACACACACATACAATATTTTAAACATCTGTTTAGCATATGGAGACACATACACCCACACTCATACAATAATATTTTCTTATATATCAAAATGAATTGCTGTTCGTTAGTCTCACTAAAACTCGAAAATGGCTGGACCGATTTGGCTAATTTTGGTCTTGAATTATTTGTGTAAGTCAAGGGAAGGTTTATATGGTGAGAATTAAAAAAAAAAACAACACCATTGAGGTAGTACAAAATCTGCCGGATCAGTTAGTAATATAATAACATACATCCTACTACATTTAATATTAAAAATGTGAAAGATTGTATGTTTTGTTTCCTTATTACTCTTTCATATCATAATGGTTGAAGGGATCAGATTAAAATTTGGATGTAGACTATTTCCCAGAAGAACACACATGCCACTTAATATCCCACGTAGAATCTAGTATAACAATAAAAAAGGTAGACAGAATTTAGTAGTTTTTTCATCAGTTAATGGCTGTTACTTAGATATTAAATACCATTTAAATAACATGCATAACACTAAAATAGGCTTACTTCATAAATTACCACATGGCAAACATAAATAATACCACATGTATCTATAGCTTATATTGAAAGGTCCAGTGCACACCGGCACAAGATCTTAGAATAATTTGTTTTGAAATAAACCCTAACTACTATGGCTAAAAATAAAAACTGCATACCAAAAAATCAAAAACATGTATACAATTTTTTTTGTTTATAATTTCTTTATTCCACTTAAAACTTTACAGTCACCATAAAACAGACTCGGTCAGTTTATAATAATCATGGTACAAATGTGTGCAGACTAACACACACATACACATAACATCACTCCTTTTATACCCGAATGGGTAGGCAGAGGTGCAAATTATACCTCTGTACAATGTAACACTCACTTTTCACTGTTTATGTTATGAGTCCCATGTAATAGGGGGTGAGTCTATTGCCATATACCGGGCACAATTCCAGACTCCATGCTACTACTGAGAATATTTAAAAACCCAGTAATACTTTGCCCGACCCGGGAATCGAACCCGAGACCTCGTGCCCGGCAGTCGGACAAGGGGTCTAACTAACACACTTATATTCTTTAATATTACAAATTGGATAATAACTACTCAGTTTTAACTTTTCAATGTACCTATGTGTGTACAAAACACTGTTACTAGTAATCCAAGAAATTAACAACAACGCGTCTTTTGAACTAGACATAGTATTAAAACAATAATTCAGATCATTGGTATGCTATTTTCATTCATATACCATAATAGTTAGGGTTTGGTTTAAATTGATTTATTCTTAGTATTTTCGCTGTGCCTCCGCCGATATGCACTGGGCCTAAAAATGTAGGACATTTTGTTAATAGTAATATCATTATAAATGTCTTATCTTCTACAGATTATGAGATATCATGAATGTACTGCATATTTGGTTATTTTTTAATATAACCATTCATTTTTTGGTTTAACTTTTTGACTGTAATATAAAAAAATGAAAGCTTTAGATGTTATTTTACTAATATATATTACTAGCTACTTCCGCGCGGTTTCACACGCTCTGCTCAGCTCCTATTGGTCATAGCGTGATGTTTTATAGCCTATAGCCATCGAGAAATGCGCTATCCAACACAAAAAGAATTATTCAAATCAGACTTTTAGTTACGGGGATTAGCGCGTTCAAACAAACAAACAAAAAAATTAACTCTTTCGCTTTATATAATAGTATAAGATATAAGATTCGCATCTTATATCTTATATCATATAAAGCGAATTGATGTGATCGTGTGTATGTTTGTAACTCGTACACAAAAAACGGCTGAAATTTGAAAGTGGTAGATTATGTTTCGGAATAATACAGGCTACTTTTTTAACACGTATGTATATACTAGTAAACTATAATTATAATGTTTCAAAAAATGTTACTAAAACAGTCAAAAAGTTCAGTTGTGTCCCATCATATCAATGTACTCTCATAGCTTTTTCACTTTTTTCCTGCTTCAGAGTTTAAAGGGATTAAGGTAATTCGAGATTCATTACAATTAGTTGTTAGTAAATGTTATTGTAACACTCACTTTTTGCAATATGCGTAGCCCATGAACACGCGGAACACAAAAGGCGTTACAAATGTCTTTCCGGCCTTTTGGGGATTCGAAATTTGAAGATTGTTCTAGATTGAGGAATTGGGGAGATTGATTGGATCTCCGGTAACCGGTCACAACGAAACACAACACAACCGTTGTTTCACGTCGGTTTTCTGCTCGGCCGTGGTATCACTCCGGTCGAACCGGCCCATACATGCCGAAGCATGGCTCTCCCACCCCACACTAATGTTGTACGCATTACCATCAGGTGAATCGTTTGCTGGCTTTAGCCCATAAAATGTATGTCTCATGGGTGCAAACGCGATTAAAATATTTAAAGATAGTTTTTTTTTTGAGGGGTGAAAATTATCCAGTGGCTTCTCCCGCCTTGGATAAGGCGACTGAGTGTCAGACTCTATCCGTCCCATTTCTACTCCCGTTTTGAGCCGGATCCCGGTAACTTGTTAAGTTGTCTCAAGCTCCGGTGTATTTTCGAAAATCCTTCATACACAATGCCGTATGGTGTATAAAAGATAAGGTACCTACTCGTATCTTAGCCAGCAAAAAGTGGGTGTTACAATGTTAGATGCATGTCAATTTTATTTACTTTAGCAGTAAAACTCACAAAGTTATACGTATTTGTCTGCCCTCTTATCACAAGATAAGGTTTTCTGATTTTTATAAAAAAGTTTTTATTTAAAACGACTTTTCAAGCTGCGCTAGGGAGCAAAATAATAATGACGGTCTCTGTTTCGGTTTTCATATAAGCTAGTCATTTTTATTGGCCCCAATCGTGGCATGAAACTAGGAGTATTTATGATGTATGTTTAAATGTTTATTTGTATTATTTAATATGTAAAGTAGTGTAGAATATGTTCTACCTATATCATTTCATCTCATGTGTCTCGTTTTCTTAAATATGAAACTATCAAATACTTAACTTTGTCTTATTTCAAAGTTATTTCAGTTTGGTTTTTCAACACTTTCACTTATAAATATGTTGTTTTTTTTCCACAGAATGGAGGATGGCGCCGGCGATGCCACCGTTGAGGCCGAAACAACGACAGAGGTCGACACGTCATTACGCAAAGAAAAGAAAAAAAAGAAAAAGAAGGACCGAGACCAAGAAAAGGCAGATGAATAAATAAAACTGTACCATAAAATTATAGAATTTAAGTTGAGAATATTAAATAAGCTGAAAAAGATAGAAATAAGCAATATTCAGTTCAAGTGATAAAATCCGATTCGATAAGAATGCCCTTTTGCGCGGTTTCGCGCCTTTTGTTTTTTTTTATTCTGACATTTGTAACAGATCAATTTTTTTTTAATTACGTGTCGAAACTCCTTCGTAGTTTACTGTGTAACTTTGGAGTCAATTGTAGAATTTTATTTATAAATTGACTCCGATCAAGTTTATTATAAATAAGATGTGGTGATACTCTGTACCAGACTATGTATTTGTCTCAATGTTGTAGTAATTAGTGCCTAGTAAATATCAATTCAGTCAGAATCATCAAGATTCGTAGATTCCAGTGTTTTTCACGATTGTTATTGTAACACTATAAATATAACCTTTTTTAAAATACATGTTTATCGATAAAACTGAACTTAACCTCCCATCTTATATCTAGATTCTAGATAAATAGGTTACGCTAGTTTAATTAATATCTATGGTCGTTGAATAAAATTGAAGTTTTTCGCATATTTTTTATATTTCAATACGGGTTTCCATGTTTCAGCCATTTAGATAAGCTCCTTTCCTTTATCTGCTATTAAAAACTTATTTGACGTATATGTATTGTTTTTTGGCGCCAAAGCCAATAGCTAAGGTGTTATGTTATGCAGCTTGGGGCTGTGCCTTTAAATGTTACTTATTATGTATGTAGAAATTATAATCGTTTGCCTTATATTTAGTATAAGGCAAACGATTATTAGTAGACGAAATAATATCAATAATTCAAGTATTTAGCTTGCATATTTATAGCAAATTATATATTTTATTATAAAAAAGTCGTATTTTTTCATATTGTATTACTTAGTATGGTCGTATTAGGTTGCGTATTAGAGCGCCCTAGATAAGCACCTCATAGACGCTCGCTAACTTTTTTTGAGGCGCCCCTCTACACTGGGCATTGTGGCACGTGCGTTTCGTGGCGAGCCTGTAACCTGGCGCCCTAGGCATTTGTCTAATTTGCTTTAGGAATAATACGGATCTGCTACCATTATGCAGTAGCATAAACCTGGTGGCGTAACCCAATTCTAGTGTCATATTATATAAAAAATATGTACACTAATTGTCTATCCATTTTTCATAGGACTAACTAAAAACGATATATCTGCCTAAAGAAATTTGTTTTTTTCAATAACTTATCAGTCTAGTTTGGCTACTTACTAAAGATGAGTTTGTACTTATATTAGATCGATATCGGTGCGTCAAAAATAGCGATTTGAAAATCGTCAGGAGTTTTTCATAAAAATATGGGTCGTCCGCCAAATTAAATAATGAGAAAATAAGATTGATTCAGTATTGACATAGTAACTACTGCTAACGCAAGTCAAAGATTACTTTCAAGTAATTTCTATTTTATCATATTTTTTTACAAAGAATTCTTTTACCGTTCAGTAGCGGCTTGAAACTAGTTGAGTTTCTCGTCAAACAATTACGTGAGTAAGCCAAAAACTTATTAATTTGAAAGTTTTAATAAATTAATCGACTTATTAAAATATTTTTGACAATAAATATGTATCTTGGAGTTTTATTTTACGGTGGTTAGAATACTTCCCGCCGTACGCAAATCGGATAATGGTAACAACTCAGTCCTTAGCAATGGGACCTACCGTATTTTTGCTCAACAGATGGCGCTAGTGTGTCGTTTTTCGGCCAATACGGAATAGCTAGCGTCACCCCATTGGACGTTCAATATTTGACAACTGCTGTGATTAGACTAAAAATCTCTTCTACATCTTGTGACCAAACATACGGTAGCCCCATTGTTTTCGATACAAAATCGTTACTAAGGAATAGTTTATCATTAAATGTTTCTGACGTTAATAGTTACGTAAGGATAGCAAAATATGTATCGACTTGTATGAAAATATTTCTTACTCATTCATAAACAACGGCGAATTTTTTTATTGTGTAGCGCCTCTATTTATGTGTGTTTACCTACATCATTCATTATCAATAGTTTTTAATAATAAATCTGTGCACCCAGTAAAGTTGTTTTTATTTATTAATAAATTACCTACCTAAGAGGTAGATGTACCCAGAGTCGTATTTAAGTGTATGGGCCGTATATAAGTGTGGGAGAGCCATGCTTCGGCACGAATGGGCCGGCTCGACCGGAATAATACCACGGCCGAGCAGAAAACTAACTTGAAATAATGCTTGCGTTGTATTTCGTCGTGTCAATGTGGCACTTACCCTCCGGTAACCTCTCTCACAACCCTCCCCAATCGCCGAATCCCCAACAATCTTCAAATTCGTAATCCCCAAAAGGCCGGTAACGAACCTTGTAACACCTTTGGTGTTCCGGGTGTCAATGGGTGGTTGATTGTTTACCATTAGGTGATCCGTTTGCTCGTTTACCAGCCTATTCCATAAAATTATAAACCTTAAGGCGATTGCCTATTGCCTCTGTGTCAAGTGAGTAGGGCGCCCGATTACAGAGGGCGCCGTAAGACGCGCGTGCCCAACTGCCCACAGTGTGGCGACGTCACCAAAAAACACTAAGGGGTACCTATGAGGCGCATGCATAGGGCGCCCTCTGTGTTTAATGCGCCTCTGGGTAAAGAAAAATCCTCTCTTAATCTTGGTAAAGAAAAAAAATACGGATAATAACACAATCTGATTTCCGCTTACTACTTACATTTTGCAAGAGTGTCCTAGTCTTGAGAACCGACTAAGGTATATATGTGTGTCACGGAGAACCTAACGGGTAACCGGGGCACCGGCTTGACGTGCAGGAGAAGGAACGGGGTGGTTTTTAGTCAGTAAGAGTCTGACACTCCCTTCCGCCTCACCCAGGCGGGAGGAGTCATTCGATGATTTTCCCCCCTTAAAAAAAAGGTTTATATGTGTGTATAAGGTATTACACACATCTTTTTTACAAAGTCGTCAGTCGTCGCTCTCAGCGTATCAGTCGTAGTCTAAAATTTTTTTCGGCGATTTTCAATCTAGGCTGGCAGTAGATCGTCATGAACTGATATTGTATTAGATGTCCTATTTATGAACATTACATTATGGAGTGAGTCCATTCCAAAGCAACAGGCATAATTCCTGACAATGTTCTAATGGTTTTCCCGACACGAAAATCGAACCTGACTGTATTTGACCAACAAGGTAGGCAGTTTAAGAATACTATCCAAATGCCACTCAGTACCAATGTGACTTTTTCCGAGTTATATGTACTTTCTAAGATTATTTAGACACCACTGACAAACGGTGAAGGAAAACATCGTGAGGAAACCTGGGCTTATAATTTCTAATTATAAGTTTGAAATCGCCAACCCGCATTGAGCAAGCGTGGTGATTAATGCTCTAACCTTCTCCGTGTGAGAAGAGGCTTTGCTCAGCAGTGGGCATTTATAGGCTGTTGATGATGATCCAAATGCCAAAGGCAAGGCCAATAATATATTGATAAAGATTAGATATGCCAATCTAGAAAACACTACATTATTGTAAAATAATTTTAGGTTGAACTTATTTAATTTAAGTAACAGTTAGCTAGTATTTTTTTTATTATACCATGGTAACGATTATTTTTAGTAAATAAGGAAAGAATGACATTACTTGCGTAAAAAATAAATTCGTTTTAATACTGTACTCAGTAACATTTGATCACTGGTAGCAATTTCTAAACTGTGACATAGCTGTCAGTGTCAAGAATTGATTACAAAAAAAATAAACAAAACGTTTCACGGTTGTTTGGGACGGGGTTGTAGGTAATTAATATTTTATTGTTTTCATTGTGTATTTAATAAAAATATAGTTTAAACCATGCATTGGGCCCATATTTACCCGGATAGTGAGTTATACAACTACGAATACTTCAGTCAAGACGACGTTTGTCGACTTTGCTGGAACAAAAATGCGAACACAGACGTCTTTCTAAAAATTTCAGAATACACGACAGAAATGTGTTTGTCTGACATAATAAAGGACTGTTTACATGTAGAAGTAGATAATGATCATCTAAACAAGATCTGCAACGACTGTTTAAGTGAAATAAAGCGGTTTCATTACTATAAATTATTTTGCCAAGAAACGAACGCTAAGTTGAAAATTGTGCTTGAAAATCAGTCGCTAACGACCAGTGAACCGGCTGTAGAAATTAAAATCGAAGATATAGAAGACAATGACGCCATAGAGACTTATATAAATGATAATTTAGTTTTCGAAGAGCCAGAGACAATAAAACAGCGGCAATCAACCTCGAAAGTGAGAAAAAAGTATTTACACAAACGCTCACCTACTTACTGTAATATTTGCTGCGTAGATTTGGATACTGAAGAAGGGTTATCTACTCATAATACTGAATTACATGGTATCGAAGATAATGGTACATTATTCAAGTGTTTTGGATGTGATAAACGGTTTAAAAGTCGAAAAAGTCGCATAAGTCATGAAGTAAATTTCTGTAAAGGGTTAAAAGATGGATATAAGTGTACTTTATGTGATCGGTATCTACCAAAGAGGTGTATGTACGAGTTTCACATGAGAGACCATAGACACAACACATTGATTGAGTTACCAGAGCACATATTTAAGTGTGGCAAGTGTTTAAAATTATTTAAGACTAAAGAATTACTCAAACTACACATGCTAGAACATGGAAAAGAGAAGAATTTTGTTTGTGATGTTAGTATTTTTTAATTTCAACTTTTTTTAAAAACATTGACTCGTCAACCTGCCCAATGGTCGCAAGTGCAACTGCCGGGCAAGGGGTCTCGGGTTCGATTCCCGGATCGGGCAAAGTATTACTGGGTTTTAAAAAAAATCTCAGTAGTGAGTGTTACATTGTCCATTGGCATAATGTGCACCTCTGCCTACCCCTTCGAGGATAAAAGGCGTGATATTATGTTATGTTTTAAAACATTGCCCCACACTTGCATTGTTTCCTGTGTCGTGGGTGCGTTTACAAA